TGTCATATACTTATATTTTAGTCAAGTCTGTTGGTCTAAGTATACATACTCTGCAAGTATCTACAGAGCTCCTATGATGCACTGGTGAGACAAAGATGAGCTCCACCTGAATCCTCATAAGCTTCTAGTTTAAGGTATAATGAGGACTATTGTTAAGTTGTTAATTCTTAAAAATATTAATGCTGCCTTTTGTATTATTTGCACTTATCTTTTAGCCTGAGGACTTATCTAAGTTTACTGGCAACATGTTCCTCTAAAAAAAGAAGTCCAAGTCATTTCAAGCACAGAAAGTTGCTCTAACTACAAAAGAGTGGGAGCACACTTTAAGAAGTTGACCAAGAAAATAGTCTAGAACCAAAAAAAAATTCATCTTGAAAGAAGTAATTCGAATTTGAGGAGCCTTGTCAGGTCACACACCTCCAAAAAGGATCACTGTTATTACATTTTCCCTTCATTATGCTCCTCCCTATGATATTCAATGAAATGACATTAAAAATTACATCAGTTGGGGTTTAATCAGTGAAGCACAGCCTTGTGAGTGATATGGATAAGGGATTTATTTTAGGGATTAGACTTCTACAATTGTGGGAGAAATTTGGGAAGTAAATGTCCAGAGTGGGGTGGCTGGCTGAGCAGAAAAAGAACATCTAACTAGGACCAGTGAGAGGAGCTGGTGAAGAAGTCTACAGGAGGCCATTACCTCTGCATGTGACAAGGCCTGGAGTAGGTCAGAAGGACAGGCGGTCAAAAAGCAGGAAAGAGGTGGTCAAGATGCAAACTATACACAAAGTGGAAGAGAACAAGGACAAAGTGGAGCAGATTGGAACCCACAGGTATAAACTGTCACATGCATCTGCCTCTCATTGCATGGAACCCCAAAGCTGCAGCGCCCTGCAGAAGTTGCTGGTGTCTTGCAGCAGAGCTACGTAGATACCTGGCCCAGGACTCAGAGAACCAGAGGCAGGAGAACCAGCGGGACTTGGAGAAGCTGTGGGCCCAGCTGCTGCCCACACTCAAGTGAGCCAGCTGATGAGCAACAGTGCGCATGACTGGCCCGGAGCCTGACACCCTACACTCACCTGCCTAGTGCAATGGCTACAGATGCACGTCAGTCCTCAGAATCTCATGGAAATTTCTCTGTGGCCAACCCTAACAGAGAACCATTCCAACAAATGTGATTCCAGCTTAGCTAACTGACAAACTACAAACTACCAAGTTAGACTATAACTGATATATAAAGAAATACAATTCATATGATTCATAATTCATTCATCTTTTCTTTATAAAGACCTTAATAAGGGACAGAAAGATGATAGCTTTCCCAGTGTCACAGAACTAGTGATAGGCCTAGAAACTCAGTCCCAAGTGTCTCCATCTGCATGATGTCACAGAGAACACTGGAGATTAAGTTAATGCACCTGAGATTTTGCCGCTAAATAATTGTTTGGCTTTGAAGAAAAAAAATCACTCAATTCTGGATACAAGTTTTCCTGTGAGAGAATGACACACAGGCCAGACCCAGCAAATTGAAGGTGCTCAGTTAATACCTGAGGAGCAAATGAATAAAGATACTCTTGCAAGAGCAGCCATTTTATAAAATTGTTCTATTGCTCAATATAAAAGAAAAATTGAAACCATATTCCCACACCTCAATTGTGAGCATTCTAATATATTCTCATGAAGTACACTTGGGCCTAGTATGGATTACCCAGGCCTTTCCTCCTCTGCACAAGTCAGATTTCCAATCTCTCAGCCACGTAGTGATTTGATTTTCTACACTCTTCTTGTCACCTCCTTGTGGCTTCTACTTGATTCTTTCAGTCTGAGCTTTTCAGCAGGAGCCCAGAACCACACTGGTGGACAAGTAAGAATTCAGAAAATGGCAGTAAGAAGAAACTGGAAGAATATCAGATTTCTACTTAGAGATTTCCATGTTTTGCTCACAAATCTGCAAATTGGGTGGAGTTCAGCAAGAACCACTCATCTCCACTCCTTGGGGCTCCAGGGGAGCTCAAAAGCCAGGAACTGAAATCATCTAGAGGCTACTCACTTTCAGCTAAGGTTATTGGCCAGAACTTTTCTACATGGATTCTCCATGTGGTGTCTCTGCTTCCTCAAGGCATGATGAGTTGGGCACAAGAACAAGTTTCCCAAAAGGACCAAGCAGAAACTGTATCGCCTTTTACGACGTTGTATCGTAAGTCCCATAGCATTTCTGCCAGTTACAGTCACCCCCAGATTCAAGAGGAGGAAATACAGAACCCACTTCCCAATCAGAGGAAAATCAGCATCACATTCCAAGAGCCTGAGGGACTGGGTACCTCACCGTAAAAGCCATCTTGGAAAATGCAATCTATGACAAGCAGTGATCAATACTTACGATGAGTTTATAAACACAGAGCTTGTCAACTAAGTGAGTGCTTGGCCAACAATAACCCCAGAGAATATGTTTATGCACATACATAAATACACGCACATATGCACACGTAACACGTACTTGGCAAATGAGGGTTTTTCTCCGATTCAACTTGCTTCCAAGATATTTCCAGGGTTAAGCCTAAGGATAAGGGCAGGGAACTGGGCCACTCAATTAGTTTAAAATAAAAGTACTTTTCCCTCATCATCTATCTTCTGTCTGGGAAAATAAATCAGGCTGCTGAATTCTGGACCCATATTATTTCCATGGTAACAAAGCTAAAGTGCTAAAACGTGGATTATAATTCTTTGCAATATTTAAGAAATCTGTATTTAGTCTGTGTGGTGTTTAAAAGTGTGCTTACTAGCAGTGAAGACCATTACCATTAACCTTCTCCAGTACAAACACACACACACATGCACATGTACACTCATACAAGCAACATGAGTGCTTAAAAAAATCACATAATTTGTACTACATGATGATAAAAATAGGGAGAAATGAATGAAAGAAGACTGTCCAGCTTGGTCTTAGATCTGGTCTGAGCTAAATTTTTTTGTTTTGATTTTGAACTCAATTAGGTGGTTTTAGAAATAATCTTACCATTTGAAGCCTAGAGAAAAAAAAAGCCAACCATCTTAGGTACAAAAGTGGGAATAATTACAGTGTTTATAAATGACAATATCAGTGCAGGAGGAGAGAGTAGAGTATGTCTAATATGGAGTCTTATTTTGAATGTAAAGACTTTAAATTATGAAGTATTTCAAATATACAGAAAAGTATAGAAAATATGAAATCAAAAACCTACCTACATAATTAACAGTTATTACCCATTTGCCATATTTTTTCTCAAATCTTTTTTTTCGAAATAAATAAAATATTGACTATTCAGCTAAACCCTTACCTATCCTTCCCTTTACCTTCCCTCCCCAGAAATCATTATCCTGAAGCTCGTGTGACATCCCTATGCACCCATCTGTATATTAGTGCTTATCAGTGAATCCCTACACTGTTGTATCTTTGTGCTTTAAAAAGTCGCATACATGGTATCATAGAGTATATGTCCTTTTGTAACTCATTTGTATTGCTCAGTATTATGATTTATCTCTAGCCGCAAAGCATAAACATGCCATAGGGAAAATGGAGATGAACACAAAGTATTGCTCAGATAGTTAATCATTCATTCAACTAAATTTATAGTTCACCTGGGAGGTGTGTTGATGGTGACAGTTTTTGCATTTTTGAAAATGTTAATGAGATGCAGACAGAAAAGGACAGAAGAAACTCAAGTGAATACAGGGGTGCTGTGCTGGGAAAGCATGGTTATTTGTACTCCAGTCCTTCCATTTCTGTAGACCAGATGCTTTCTCTACTTATAATCCACCCTATGGGGGCAGTTACTGGGGCTGCATGGTCTTTTGGTAATTGATTCTCCCACAGAAGTTCAGTGACCACCCAGGAGCCTAGACTTGTGCAGGGATGAGGGAGCCACATCTCTGAGCTTCCATCAGGGAACTCTGGTGATTTGTTATGTCCTAGCCATCCCTCTCCCTGTCCCACTCCTCTAGATTTTCTTTACTACTGGGAACTTTGGACTTGGCTAGTGTGAATCTGAACCCCACAGGCTGAGAGAGCTGAGGAGCCAGGTGGGTGACATCCATTTGGCCTCTCTCATGTCCTGCCATGTGCACACTCTACTGCCATTCCCTACTGCCATGATAAATGCCTACTTGATGTTCTGTTCAATTACCTGTTGCAAGTTGATAGATTGAGTAATTTTTAACTTTTTTGTAACATTGCTAAAATAAAGGACCTGGAGGAGTGTTTATTTTTCAAAGCAGGGATTTGAGTCACTGATTTAATATCATATATACGTGAGCAATTACGCATACTCCATCTCTTCTTTCTGTTTACCAAATTACTTTATGAATGCCTCCAAGAAACTCTTTACATGCAGAAGCTCTCTGAAAACAGAGAAAAAGGGACTGCCAAATATATTTTACTTTTGAGGTGGCATTTACTTACTCAATAATATCTACCAGGTAGGATTATATGGTCACTCTCAACTATTATCTTTTATTTCTGTTGAATTTTCAAGTATGTTAAGCTAAAAGTGACTTCATGCAAATCAAACTGCAAGAAGCCTTTCAGGCCATATTCAAACACTAACAGGTTTGATAAATAAATTTCTCTAACAAAGGTAGAACAAAGGGCTCTTTCTCTACTCATGCACTTTATTGTCATTCTGCTGTTCACCCCTCGTGTGGCTGTTTTATAGGACATAAAGTCTAGGTATCCTGTTGGGATCTCTGATCTTATTTATAGCTTGCTGCAAAGTGGCTTATTGTCATTTATTATTTCTTATTTGATTTATATAACATCTTTCTACCAAAGAGCCCATGGGATTATTTACATAAAGAGTACACACACACACTTGAACTTCACTTATTGCTGTCATGTAGTTAGCAGTACAGCACCAAATTTCTGTGGGAGGCTTTTCTGTTTGTTTTTGTTCCAAGACCATGTTGTGGGAAGGCAGTCACCCTATTTCCATTCACTTTGAGTGTTTATCATTTATCTCTAGATGGATCGGATCATCTTCTGTGTCTTCTTAGAAGTTGACTTCAAAATTTACAAAAAGAAAATGAGTGAGTTTTTCCCTGTAGGTAAGTAAAGCAATTTATTGCCTTTGGAATTTGAGGATTGAAAAAGCTGAGGCGTCATCACTTATATTTCTAGTTTGTTTTGCATCTTGAAGGTTTCATGACTGTGATCTCCATGCACCAGTTACCCCTGGTAATTTATGTCACAGTTTATAGGAACTCAAGAAGGTGACAGGAAGTCTAGACCCCTTTGTCCCATGAGGTCATTGTGTTTGTTTAGGGGAAGTCAGTTCACCTCCTGGTCTCAGTTCCTCATATCAAAAATGAGGGGTTGGACCAAATGATTTCTAAAGACTCTTCTTGTAGTTGCAAACTGCATAATCTGTGATTTCCCACACTTATAAATTGCCCAAATCTGTGCCTCCATCCACCATATTCAACACCTTTCTTGGGAACTGTGAGGAGCCCTTTTATATTTGTAGTCAGAAGTCAAAGTATTCCTGCATAGCATCCCTATTGCCTCTAATTTTCTTAGCCCAAATTCCCATGACAATAGTAGCACTTTCTAGGGCAATCTGAGAAAAGTAGTCATTCACCCTATTTCACATTTCTTGTGAGAATGTAAGCAGAACCTCAGGGTTATTATAGAACCTTGTATAATAGATGTACATTGATTGGGTGTGCCATTAGTTAGATTTGGTTAATTTGAGTATTTCCCCCTACTATCCCTCTTCCAGCCTGTGAGGGCAGAGGCTAGTTTAACACCTTATTATCATTGTAGTGCCATTCAAGTCACAGTGCCTGAAACACTTCCTCAGCTACTGTGAGAACAGCTTCCAGGAAATTTCAAGCTACTATGATCATTACTGGTGCCTGCTTTTAGAGAATTTTCTGTTAAGGTTTTCACATCCATCTGAAGTGGCTTTTCATGTAACTGGTGACTGGCCGCTAGGAAGGAATGAGTTGAAGGTTCTGGTGCCTACCCCAATCTAAGCAGTTAGCAGAGCTACCCAATAAAGAGGATGCCCCACCTGCAGATCAGAGTAGGAAGTGGGCAGCTGTCAAGAACAGTACAGAAAACTGCTAGAGATGTTCAACTCTAAGTTCTTGAGTTGGACTAAGTTCTTCTGGGTAATTTGAAGTCCTTCTTTCTAATTGTGTAATGGAAAGGTGAATCTGCTAAGCATATTTAATTTGGATTGGATCTTCAACTACAGTATTTTCCTAACTGGAACATCATGTAAATTTGGAAGAACCTGTGTGACGAAGAGGATTATTAGTGTGATTTTCCTTCTTTTCTCCTCCTACCTCTCTTTTTTTTTCTCTTTTTTTTACCTTTTTTCATTTTTTTCCTTTCCTCATTTTTTAAGCAACTCAGTGTTTTAAAGAGTTAAAACATACAATAACTATTTAATAAGTAGTTGTTATGAGTTGAATTTAACAAATCTTTGTCCCCATAATCTGCTGGCTGTTTTTCCTGTTTCAGTCTCCTTGTTTCACCCTTTACCTTTGTTTCTTGTGTAACCACAGTGAGCTGATTGTGCCTGCATTTTTGCATTTTTAAGTATTCTTAAAGGAAATGTTCTTTCAAGTAAGAAATGTGACTTGCCAAGTATGATGCAAATATTCTCATGTTTTGTCAGCGCAGCATATTTTTTAAGATGGTATACATTTTGAGAGGTTTAGAAATGATGACACAATATTCATTTTCATGACTGCTAAAACAAAAACTTGTTTTCAGTGTAACATCTGATAAAAATAATTGCATAAGTATGATCCATTGATATTAAAACAAATTTATCCATCAGCCAAGCCAAAAATCACACTACAAGTTTTAAAAAATGGGACAGTTTTAGTGGTCTAAAATGTATTAATAAACTCTGCAAATAAATTACTGTTTGAAAAATTGCTACTCTAAATAAATTCAAAATTCATCTTAGTAGTTAAGCAAGTGAAATAATAATAAAATCATCCTCAGTTTCATATCAGTGCTTTGAATCATAGCATGCTCACAAAATTACTTCCAATGCATATTTACAATAGTAAGTACATTTTTTAACTAAATGTCAAAATCCTCCAAAACTGTTGAGTATTTCTGCAAGGCCACGGCATCAGCCGTTTATAAACTCTAAATATGCAGTATGAAGAAAAGGGGACCTCTAATGGAACATGTGACTGTTAATACAGATGATATACATTATCTGTCCATAATTTGAATTCATGGTTAATTCATAACCATACCATCTTTGATTGGAATATAATTTTTCTGACTTGCCATATATTCCACTTTTTCAGAGGATTTCTATCTAGTCTTCTTAGCCCTTCTTATTGTAATAATGGTAATAGTTTAGAAAAAAAAGTCATTTTGTATTAAACCAAATCTCTGTGTTTTAGGGTGATTTAATCCCATGTCTTTAAATTTCATAATTAGAAATCTGAAACAAAATGTGTGATAAAACAATACAAGTTAAACCAGGAAAGATCTGAAAGATACAATACATACACAACTGCTCCCAAATACTAATCATAAGAATTATAACTAACTTTTATGGATTGCTTTCTGTCACCAGATACATGGGCCTAACCAGTTAAACTTCATGATAACTCTAAGAAAGTAAGCATTATATATTAACCCTACTTTTTAGATATGGGAAATGATGCATACTTGAGAAAAAGGAGACATATAGCTAGGAAACAACAGAGCAATATTTTAAATTTAAATATTTTATATTTTAAAATTGAGAATGATATTTGTCATTGCACAAATAGTATTAGGCTAGTTTCCTCAGAGCATCTTCAGAGAGGGGTAGTTCAACCCTAGGATGCATTTGGAGCTTTAGAAAGTCTCATTCCTAATATTATCTGCTGCCTATCATTTTTCCAAGCTTCCATTGTTTTAGTGTCTATAAATGTCCTCATGAAACCTCCTCTCATAGGAGTCAAATTGGCACTTTACTATAGATCTCAAAGTCAGATTCTATCCAAATCACCCAATCAGTGTGGTGCTTTTCCCTGCAGGTGAGCAGTGAAGTGTTCACGAGGAAGCCAGAAGGCCCTTCAGCAGGACCACAGGGGGAGGAGATAGAAAAGCGCTGTGTGAGTTTGCTAGGGCTGAAACAGAGCACCACACATTGGCTGGGCCAACAACTGAAATTTATTTTCTCACAACCCTGAAAGCTGGAAGTCCAGGATCGAGGTGTCAGCAGGGGTGGTTTCTCCTGAGGTCTGTCTCCTTGGCTTGCACATACCACCTTCTCCCTGTGGTGAGACCTGTCCATGAGGTCTTCCCTCTGTGTCCAAATTTCCCACTCTTGTAAGGGCATCAGTCACACCGGATTAGGGCTGACGCTAATGACCTCATGTAACTTAATTACCTATTTAAAGAACTATCTCCAAATGCAGTCACATTCTTAGGTCCTGGGAGTTAAAACATCAATATATATATTTTGGAGGACACAACCCTGCCCTAACAGGACCCATAATGGAACTGCACTAGGAACCTCAAAGGAAAAAATAAAAAGCAGCAATTTTTTTCCAACAGTTTTGTATCTTGCTGTAAGTGAAACACATATGACTTTTTCCTTCCAGATGTATTCTTTGGAAGTCCAGTGTGGCAGGTTTATGGAATTACCATACACTTCAGTTGCAAATAATTTATAGTTACAGTGTACCATTACATGGCCTAGAGCAAATCATATTTGTATGATTCAACTCAGAAATCTCTTTGTTCTGTACATGAAAAGGTTTGTATTTTTCAGTGTGTAGGATTTATAGCATGTAGCTTTCACTGATTTGGAATATGGAAGCCAAATTTGGTATTAGAGCTAAATCCTAGTAGAGAATTTAAGGATATTAATTTTCCTCCCAATAGCAATGCCACATTTATAGTTTAGAACTATATCAAAGAATCCTGATGTTAGAAACTTGAGAGATATCATAATCAAACCCCTCCTTCCCCCACTTTAGGGAAAGCCTGTATTGTTTCCTGCAGAGATTCTCAACTAGGGGTGATTGTGCCCTTCAGGAGACATTTTGAGAGTTTTGTTTTTCACAAGCAGGGAAAGGGAAGGGCTACTGGCATCTAGTAAGTGGAGGCCAGGGGTGCTGCAAAACATCCCATAACGCACAGGATGCCCCCCCACCAGAGTTACCTGGCCACGGACAGCAGTAGTGCAGAGGGGGAGAAGCCTCTCTTAACCCTTCAGGCCACTGAGGTGTAGACTTTGCCTTTGGACTGAGGTCTGCCTGCTGACACCTTATCCAAACTTCTCTGGCTAGTTGTATTTGGAACCTGTGTCCTCAGCCTGACATCTGGCTTCCTAGATTCATGATCCCCTCCTTGTCTAGACTTCTTGGTCTGCTCTCTCTCCAGTTATTCTGACTACAGATATCTGTCTGTTAACCATGTTAACCTCCTTCCCCAAATCTCTGGTTCTCCCAGCCTCAAACCATTTATTCATTGCTGTGCATGACTCCAGTGTATCAGTCTCAGAAAATATAATTAAGTGTTGTATAGGTTTCATACACCTCATGAATAAGTGTGGAGGTACAGGCTAATGTACAGAGCAAGGAAGAAGGTTAAAAATTATATTATACCTTGGCAACCTGTGAAGTATTTAAACATACCTCAATGGCTGGCTAAATTGCTTTAGTTTTATTTAAATGACAGAAATGCCATTAAATTATTTTGAGTATGTAGACATATTAGGTTTCATGCTTTTTACCATTGGTTGATAAAATTACCTTGTAAGTTCACATATATGTTTGGATTTAAGAAATCCTCAACCCTCAGCCAGTATCCAAGCTCAACTGATTTATTCACAATGAAAACACCTATGGCTAACAATTTATCCATTTTCTCTTTATATTATAACACTTTATTTTTAACCCTATGGCAATGAAATTTGTTAATTTTTTTCCAGCTAGGAAATTTATATAGCTCATATACAATACTGTGTCAACTTATCAATAGTTAGTTAAATGTAATATATACATATTTCTTCTTTTTTTTAAGAGTAAAACACTTTTTAAAAAAATAGCTAGCTGAGAAAATGGTAAGATAG